GGCCCTCAGCACCTCCGGAGAGGACACCCTGAGCGACTCAGGTAATGACTGCGCTCGGGGCCAGCTGCCTGCCTGGGCTACTGGAGCCGGGGGTCGCGTACTCTTTGTTACTGTTCCCATGTTTTGGTTTGGGGGAGCCTTCTGGGGGCAGCGCTGGTAGCAGAGAGGTCCTCTTTTCTCCAAGCCTCTCCCCAGGGTAGTGAGAAGGGACTGAGAGAAAGGTGCTGCAGAGCGGGTGCTCTCCCAAGGCTCACTTTCACTGAAGTTTCTTCCGCCTCCTCCTGGGGAACCTTTCTCTAGGCCTTCACTGGCCTGCACCCCGTTCCCCTGCTTTGCATCCTGGTCTCAGGAATAACATTGGGGAAAGTTGGTAACTAAACAGGGTGGGGGCTTAGGGGGCTGCTGGGTGCATTCCCTGGGCAGAAACCTGTTAGCTCTGGGGCAGTCAGGGACTCTCAGGCCCTGGTTAGGGTAGGGGAAGGACATCCCGAGAAGACACAGGGGCTGTGCAAAATCCTATTTAGGGCGCAGGAAGTCAGGAGGAGATTGCACAGATGGCTAGTGCTAGTTTTTTTTTCTTTTTTTTTCAAACATGGGTCCACCCTCAGTGGGTGGTGGGCTATTTGCTCCTGGTGCGTGGCCAGCAGGCGGCGATATGCGTGGCTATCGGGGGCCAAGGATCCGAAAGCCTGGGGGTGGTGGGGCACCCCTCCCTCCCTCCATTCAGCAGCTGGTGGCAAGGGCAACAGCAGTTGTGTACATTCTCAAGGGGCCTCCTCTTCCTAGTGTGCACTGGAAACTGGGTCCAATTTTGCCTTCTAGCCCGAATTCCAGGCCTGACTTGAGATGTGGGTTGTGTGCAGTCACCCAGTGCCCTTGAAGGTGAAAGCCTGGAAGCCTCTCCAGGAACGCACACATCCTGGGAGGACTCATTGATTAGTTCTATTGTGTGCATTTGTCTTCCTCTTAACTGAAGGGAAGAGTTAAAACCAAGCCTTCCCCTGGGGCTTTGGCGGTAGGGAACTCTACCCAGATACTGGCACAGCCCTTGTCCTTGGAGCAGGGAGCTGGGGCCCCTTGGGCCTTGAAAACGAGTGTTTGTGGAATGCAGGTGGATAAAAAGCCTGAATTTACTTCAGGGCTGAGGACAGATCCTTCCCAGGCTCCTGGAAGGAAACTTGGTGATAAGCCTCCTTCCAGTCTGAAACGGCTCTGTCCCTTTAATGTCTGCGCCTTGACAGCTTTCGGTGAGGAAGCACTTCCTTCCAACAGCTGTCTTCTTGGCAGAAAACCAAAACATTGGCTTAAAGGGACCCACAGACTGGAACAGCCTCACATTTCGGCTTTAGAACAAATCCCACAATTGTTCAGCTTTCCGGTCCCCTTCAGATCAAGCAGAAGATGTGTTTTGATTTTCATGCTTGCATTTTAAACAATAATTTTCTATCCCAGCATGGTAGTCAATGGGGGGGGAGCGCACACATGATGCTACACGTTTTTGTTGTTGCTGTTATTATTGGTGACTTTGAGGAGAGCTGCTCCCATGTGGGGGTTTATGCCGACTGTGGATTATAGCTTTGTAGTTAAGATTTGATCTTTGTTAGATGAAAAACTGCTTACTGCGTAGAATTCCTTTTCATGGAAGGAAAGTTATCTTTCTTCCTCAATTAATTAAATTGTTCCTCCTCAAGTTTGTGTAAGGACCTAAAATCAAACCCAACCCTAAAATGAGGAGCCTCAATTCTTAAGTGTGGAACTAGAGATGTAAATAAGTCCACAGGGCAGACTGGTGATTATGATAAAAGCTACGATGTATTGACATCTGTCTAGTAGGCGCAGCTCTATGCTAAGTGTACATATTGTGTCAAATGGTGTTATCCCCATTTGACGGCTGAGGAAACCAAGGTTCAGAAAGGTTGAGTGACCTGCCCAGAACCAGGATTTTGTTTGACCCCACAGCCCGGTTTACCACCTGCTGTCGTCTTGAATGGAGATTGAAAGCTCAGTAGGGCTACGGGGAATATTTCCAGTTATATTTAATTTAAAGAGATCAAAACCAAATATACTTCTGTCCACATCTGTGTCGATGGATCTATAACAGTAACAGTACCAGGGCCTGCTGAAAGAAACAGATAATTAGATAAAGATGTGTCTCGCCTGAGAGTAACTCCCATCTTTTTCTCAAAGATGATGAAGATGACGAAGAGGAGGATGAAGAGGAGGAAATCGATGTGGTCACCGTGGAGAAGCGGCGCTCCTCCTCCAACAGCAAGGCTGTCACCACTTTCACCATCACCGTGCGCCCCAAGAATGCAGCCCTGGCCCCCGGGAGGGCTCAGTCCAGCGAGCTGATCCTCAAACGATGCCTCCCCATCCACCAGCAGCACAACTACGCTGCCCCGTCGCCCTACGTGGAGAGCGAGGATGCGCCACCCCAGAAGAAGATTAAAAGCGAGGTGTCCCCACGTCCCCTCAAGAGTGTCATCCCCCCAAAGGCTAAGAGCTTGAGCCCCCGCAACTCTGACTCGGAGGACAGCGAGCGTCGCCGCAACCACAACATCCTGGAGCGCCAGCGCCGCAACGACCTGCGGTCCAGCTTCCTCACGCTCAGGGACCACGTGCCGGAGCTGGTAAAGAACGAGAAGGCCGCCAAAGTGGTCATTTTGAAAAAGGCCACCGAGTACGTCCACTCCCTTCAGGCCGAGGAGCACCAGCTTTTGCTGGAAAAGGAAAAGTTGCAGGCAAGACAGCAGCAGTTGTTAAAGAAAATCGAACACGCTCGGACTTGCTAGACGCTTCTCAAAACTGGACAGTCACTGCCACTTTGCACATTTTGATTTTTTTTTTTTTAAACAAACATTGTGTTGACATTAAGAATGTTGGTTTACTTTCAAATTGGTCCCCTGTCGAGTTTGGCTCTGGGTGGGAGCAGGACCACCGGTGTGAGGTTCTGCCAGGACCTCGGAGAGCCTGCCTCTCGCAATGCTGGGTGGCCCTGTGGCCTCCTCCACCTCACCTCGGTGACAGCAGTAGACATTCGTGACAGTTGGGACCCTCTGGGGCTGTTGAAGTCACCTTGTTTGTTCCAAGTTTCCAAACAGCAGAAAGTCATTCCTTCTTTTTAAAATGGTGCTTAAGTTCCAGCAGATGCCACGTAAGGGGTTTGCCATTTGATACCCCTGGGGAACATTTCTGTAAATACCATTGACACACCCGCCTTTTGTATACGTCCTGGGTAATGAGAGGTGGCTTTTGCGGCCAGTATTAGACTGGAAGTTCATACCTAAGTACTGTAATAATACCTCAATGTTTGAGGAGCATGTTTTGTATACAAATATATTGTTAATCTCTGTTATGTACTGTACTAATTCTTACACTGCCTGTATACTTTAGTATGATGCTGATACATAACTAAATTTGATACTTATATTTTCGTATGAAAATGAGTTGTGAAAGTTTTGAGTAGATATTACTTTATCACTTTTTGAACTAAGAAACTTTTGTAAAGAAATTTACTATATATATATGCCTTTTTCCTAGCCTGTTTCTTCCTGTTAATGTATTTGTTCATGTTTGGTGCATAGAACTGGGTAAATGCAAAGTTCTGTGTTTAATTTCTTCAAAATGTATATATTTAGTGCTGCATCTTATAGCACTTTGAAATACCTCATGTTTATGAAAATAAATAGCAATTAAATGATGCAATTCAATGTTTTCCTTAATAGCACTAGTTAAACTCTGTTCCTTAAGCAGCAATCCCAAATGGTCCATAACTTATGGAGGGAACTTAGTTTTTGCGGATAGCTCTTTCACTTCTGTAAAATCCTGGTTGTGGAGAGGGTCATCGTTCGCATTTGGGGTGAAGGTGACTGGGTTTGGGGAGGTCAAGGCAGTTCTCAAAGATCATACAGAATAGAGATGTTATTAAAGACTCTTTGCGTTGTACCAATAGCACCCAATGCTTTACAAAGCATTTTTCATGTATTTTGTCTGGTTTGTTAGAATTAAGCTAGGCCATCAGAGCCACCCTTTGGAAAAAGGAGCAAAATCAGACGCAGGGTTGTTTAACTTGCTTGTATCTGGCATTGGTAATATTTATGCCATTGGCCATTTTCTGTTTTGATATAGAGCAGAGGTTGTCTCTAAAAGTAATTCATTCTTAAACATGTAGGAGGACCTGGGAGGTTCTAGGCTAAGCATTGTAGCAGAGTAAAAAGATGGAAACGGTCCCCCCCTTTTGATAAACTCAACCTGAGTCACCAAAGTGTGTAACTCATGAAGTGACAACTGTGGTTTAGACCAAGAGCCAGGTGTAGGAGAGATCCTGGGGTCACAGATGGGCCATGTAGCCCTCTCTGCTTGCCATTCCCATCCCTGTTCCACCTGGGAGTATTTTGGCTACTCATGCTGCCCTGTGGAGATAGGATCAACCTTTGCAGGCTCACTAGAGGGAGGCGTTCCAGTGAGGGAAGCCTTCCAGGAAGTTTACCCAATGGGACGTAAGACCCTAGCTTGTGAGACACTCAGCTTCTCAGAACTGAAAGTGTACACATGACCCCTGTCTCTTGGGTGTCAGGTTGTATTCTAGGGTTTCGCTCATCTCAGATTTTTAGCTCTGAGCTGAGAAAAGACCTTTTGCTTTACTGCAAAGAAAACAGGTCCAGGGATGAAACAGCTTTGCTCTACTGGCTACACAGTTGGTCAAGGGCAGAGATGGGAGATGCCAGCCCAAGTGAATCCCTGCCTGCTTTGGCCATTTTATAAAGACAAGCAGGAGTTTTAGAACTTGAGATCCTCCTTTCCTGGTTACCACACACCCTTAAAATGAGGTTGGTGGTGCTGCCATGGACATCTTTCTGACAGTCTCACCATGTTGAAAATCAGGTAAAATGCTTTTCAATCCCCCTACTAGTCCCTGTCCCCAGATTAAAAAAATAGTGTGCCCTTTTTGAAAGTCCTTTTGAAATTGTCATTCAATAGGACTGTCTGTCCGCATTTTATAGGCCCCCAAATCACTGAGCAACTTCTGCACTTCCTTTGTGTATCCAAGAGTCAAAAGAAAGGTAAGTGACCTCAGTTAAGTACTTGAGATTCTTGAAACCCAGCTCAATCATCCCCGATTTCTCTATTTGTGGTTCCCATAAGGGGGCTACCTGAGTGTTATGGAGGAGATGAAACTCAAACTGTGAAGAGAGAAAACTTCAGACGAATGAGACCACTATACTGCAGTTCATACCATGTTGTCTTTTTGCTCTGGCTGCTGGGAAGCTCAGAGCCAAATTCCATACCCTCTTACATCTTGGTGTCCATACATCCTTCTAAGTGTTTTTGGTTTCCTGTTTTTTATTAAGTTAACCACCTTTTTAAATGTATATAATATTATATATAACATGAAATGTCTTTGCATTAATTAGGGAGACCATAAATATGTACCATAAATATGTACTTTAAAACTAAAGGAAAAAAAAATCACATATTTGCCTTACCTGACCCAACCGAGGGAATGCATCACCCAATTTAGCTCTGCAATTATCTATAAAGTAATTGCTATAGTCACAGAAGAATTGAACTGGTCGTCTCAATAACACAAGAACCATCTCTGCATTCCAAGAGCAGTTTTGAGACTGAGAAAGTGCTCTACATTAACTCAGATAAATAAATCATAGCGCATAGAGATCATCTCATTGAATTACTTCATTTCACAGAATGAAGGACGGGGATCCCATCTGGAATTACCAGCTGAACACAGGACTAGAGCCGGGATCTCCTAATGACCTGCCCAGTGCTTTTACCACAACACTGGCTTTCTCGTTGCCCCAGAAGAAGCTTTCCCACCTTGTAACTTGCTCATCCGCCTACGTCATGCCTCCATGTTAATCCTTCTAAATCATTGACTCTGCACAAATAGTTCCCCAATCGAGTCCTGATCCCTCAGCTCGGCCCGGAGGCACTTCCAACATTTGCTCCCCAGCTTAATCATTCATGGCCTCCATACACCCTTTCTTCCTTCATTCCGGCTCTTCATTCCTTCATTCCAACTGCATTCGCTCTTTCTTGTCTAGGACTTGTTTCACCACATTCCGTCCCTCTGGGTTATCCGGATTCCATTTTTTGGAAACCTTTTCAACTTTAAATAGCAAATTCAATGCCATCTCCTTCAGGAAGCCTTTTTCGTTCCTCTAGGTGGACCTTTTCCAGCTTTCCCATCCATCCAGGTCTTGGTCCCTGTGCACGTGTCCTCAATTCCCTCTGGAGACAGAAGAGCTGCCCTAATCACCCTCTGAGACCCCCCAAACCGTGAGCTCCCCTAAAGCAGGAATGGCTGTCACTTGCCTCTGATTCTGAGCCCCAGCCAGATGACTGACAGATGACAGGGCCTTGGCAGATGCTGGCCTTGGATGACAGCAGAGGAAGAAGCAAAGGGTAGATTTCCATTGTGAGTGTGTCTCCTGCCAACCCCAGTTCATAAGCTCTCAGACTAATTCATCCATTAGACACCCATGCATGTCTGGTACTGACTGCTGGAAGCTCAGAGGAAGTGAAGACAAAACACTCATGGAGGGCTGTCTTCAGGAAGCCCACAGTCTGGAAGGCAGAGAGGAGGGACAGGAGGGACTGGTGTTAACTGACTGTGGAACAAAAGCGTATGAGGGTCTGAGTTTGGAGTCTCTGCTGGAGGAAGCTTGTCCTCTGTTCTGGTTCTCTGGTCTACCACTGGGCCAAGGTGGTTCAGACACTTATCTCAGGCCATAAATCATCTGCACTCATAGTGACAAAGGTCATAATGCCTCCCATCCTTATGTAGAACCGTAGAACTTACCAAATTTTTGTACATTTGGGTCTCAATACTTTTGGACAATTGGTCACCTACTCATTTTATCAGTAAGGGAACTGGGCCTTCTGGGTTTGAGTTTCATTAATCTCCATGGTGGCTATGTTTTTGGTTAGTTTGTTTGAGTTTGGAGTCTCACTCAGCTGGACAGCAGTGACACAATCACAGCTTACCACAGCCTGGACCTCCTTGGATCAGATGATCCTTCTGCCTCAGCCTCCCCAGTGGCACCATCACAGCTCTCTGTAGCCTCAACCTCCCAGGCTCAGGCGATCCTTCCGCCTCAGCCTCCTGAGGGACTTACAGGCATTTGCCACTATGTCCAGCTAATTTTTTTATTTTCATGGAGTCGAGGTTTCACTATGTTGTCCAGGCTAGTCTCGAAATCCCGGGCTCAAGCAACCTATGGTGGCTATGTTTTGAAAGTTGTGATTTGGATCATTTTCAAAATCAGAGGCTGTAAGATTTGGAGGACGCATAGAAGCTGTTTAGATATGCTCCCATTTCAGAGAAAGCACATACAATCTAGTCTGCTAGTGAGCATCCTGTTTCTTTCTTCCTCCTCCCCTTTCTTTCTCTCTCCCCCCACCACCTGCGCCCCCACCATCGACAATTATTTAGCAGCTATCATGTTCAAGCACTGTTCCAGTTGCTTGGGAGAAATCAGCAAACAAAAGAGACAAAACTCTGAAATCCCTATTTTCCTGGAGTTTATAATCTAGGAGAGAGTGACAATAGCACAAATAAACATAATAAGCTAAAATAAATTAAATAACATCCAATACAAGGGTGAATGCTATGAAAGCTAAGTACAGGCTGGGCTCCGTGGCTCAGCCTGTAATCCCAGCACTTTGGGAGGCCAAGGTGAGTGGATTGCCTGAGCTGGTGGGTTCGAGACCCACCCAGGCAACTTGGCAAGACCTTATCTCTACAATAAATCAAAAATTAACTAGGAGTGGTAGCATGCGCCTACAGTTCCAGCTACTTGGAAGGCTGAGGCGGAAGGATCGTTGGAGCCCAGCAGGTTGAGGCTGCAGTGGCCAGGAGTGTGCCACTGCACTTCAGTCTGAGCCACAGAGTAAGATTCCAACTCAAAAAAAAAAAAAAGAAACAAAAATAAGTAGAAAGGAAAGAGGAATTCTGGGATACCACAGGAAGCGGGAGGTGGCATGGGGAAAGCACACTGGTCCAGGGAGCTAAGGGACAGAGCCCTGTGGGAGAGCGTCCAACTCTGGGCACCCCTGCGGCTACTCAGAGACCAGAACTCAGGCCTCAGGCTTCTTGGCTCATTGCTCAACCTCCCTGTCTCCGTCTTTTTATTCATTCTTTTAAAGAGAAGCAATAGAGCGTGGTAGTTAAGAGTTTGACTCTGACGGCCACACGCACAAGCTCTGGGCTGGGCAGTCCCTCCACTCACTGGTCCAACGAGGGGGATGACACCTGGCTTGTTAGAGGGATGACATCGATGATTTTATATACAGCAGATAAAATGGTACCTGTAAGTCCGTTAAATAATATGATTTTGATATTGACAGGATCTTTCCCGTCTATTTCCTCAGTATGTGACTAGGGCAAAGAACCTTTAAAAAAACATTTACCAGTAGAACAAATTCACAAGCCTGAGCTTAACAAGAACTTTACAGACTTTTGTTCCTCAAAAGAGGCCTTACAAAACCTGAAAACGGGTACCTTGGAAACAAATGAATGTGATCTTTGAAGCCTATTTTAAGACGGAGCCTAGGAATTTGAGTGCCGCGGAACATCTACGCCTGCTACAATGGTTTATTAGTTTTCCTTACTTGTAAAGGAAATCTCTTCATAGGCCACTGACCAGGGTTACCTGATCTCTTTTGATATTGACGTATCATGCTAC